GTTTGAGTTCTGCTGGCTCCACTTCTGATCCAGCTCTCTGCTAACGGTCTGAGAAGGCAACAGAGACTTGCCCAACTCCTTGCGCTTCTGCACCCACATGGGAGATGCAGAACAAGCTCCTGTCTCCCAGCTTTAGAATAGTTCAACTCCAGCAACTGCAGCCTTTTGAGTAGTGAATCAGTGGAGGTAAGGTCCTCTTTGCTTCTCTCTTTGTATTTAAAAAAAAAAACAAAAAAACAAAAACAAAAACAAAAAAAACCTAAAACCCAAAACAGTTAAATAAGCAAAGAACAGAAACAGCTGCCAACCAGTCCAAAGACTATGCTCCTGGAAATTAGATTCTCTTCATAAAAGAGAGATAAATGCTGTATTGGCAAACACACATTCAATAAACTATGGCCCCCAAGCCATAGCCTTTATCAAAGATTAAAATATAAAATAAGAGCTTCCCAATATGACTGAATATAACATATTCGACACTTGTAAGCATCTTAAAAGCCTCCCCAGGACTCTCAGAGTACCATCTAGAAAAGCCACACTGGAAAATTATATCTGTTCCTTCCTGTTAGATCAACAAAGCCCATAAAACAGTTCTAAATATAGATAGCATGCCAGGTCACAGGTAGGGTCTCTTAGCACCATTTCCCTGCTCTAGTTCCTTCCCTTGGGGCATGGCATCAACTTTCAAAGAACACACACAGTGATCATGTTCATTCTAAGAGCATCTCTCCGAGGATGCAAACATTTATATACAAGGATGTTCTGCCCATTCCCCGAAATCCCTCTCCCAGTAAACTCTTTGGTCTCTACCTCACGGCCTGACTGTCCAATGGCTCCTTTCTTTTTTCTTCTAATCTTTACCCCAACAAAGGACCAATGTATTTCCACAATATTTAATATTTCCTTATACAATCTACCCTCACTCCCAAATGAGTTATACTACACATTTTGGACAAATTATTTAATTTCTTTAATAGGGAGTCAGTTCTATCACTCCATTAAACCAATTGTATAAAAATCAGGGGTTCATAGAGACACTCAAGCCTTCCATGAGAAAAACATGTGACAGAAGCCAGTCCCATGGCTATAAAAGATTGGTAGTGCTAAAAATGGAACACAAATCACTGTTTGTTGAAAGACTCCACCATCCTCATCACCCAGCATAAACACATTCAACACGCAAACATTAGCAGTCTAGGCTGCAATCCTGTTCTACCACCTGGACTATTACAACGGCATCCGGACCTGTCCGTTGGTTCTCTACTCCCTACTACAGCAGGCAAAGTCATTCTTTCAAAGCATGGATGTGTTCACATCATTTTCAACCTATGACACTTGCAGTGAAATCCAAACTTTTGACCCAAGATGGCTCCTTGTTCCACCACTCACATGGTGTTGACCTCCTGTGTTCTGGCTCTCCCCTAGCTAACCTGGCCATACAAGCCTGCTGCTCTTCAAGCAAGCCTAAGGAAATTTGTACTTGTTGTGTCTCCTACACAGACCCCCTGCCCTCAACACCTGCATGTATCCCCTCTTGGTTGATTCAAGTGTCTGCTCAACTGTGACCTCAGTACAGGTCTTTTCTAATCACTCAGTTTGGAAAGCTACTCTCTCCATATTACGTTTAACATTTGCCAGTCCTTGACATTTTCCTATTCTCCATTTCCCTCACACCACCTGGTATCACACTTTCACTTGTTTCATGCCTACTTACCCTGGTCATAATATAAACGCCACGAGGGCGTTAGAGTCCTCTACTCACTGGCTAGGGCTCGGATAAAATTTAAATGAGCATTTTTTATGTGTTTCTATGTCCCAGATACTCTATCAAGCAATGTAGCAATAAAAGTGAATGAGGGATGGGATCTAGTGGTTTTCCTGTGAAGAACACAGAGTATAACAGTGAAGGAAACCCCCCAACACACACACACACACACACACACACACACACACACACACACACACTTGTTTGCACATCCTTAAAAGAGTAAAAACAGGTATGAACATAAGGCATTTGTCCAGAACTAGGAGAGAAGGGAGGCGATGCTGGGACTGGACCATTAAGAATCATGAACATCATGCTCCACAGTCTGACACAAATGTGTATTTCTTAGGGATTTTTGCAGGTCAGTGGTTTCTAAGTTCAATTTTAAATGGAGAGGAAATATTATTCATAATTTCAAAAATTAAACAAGATCTCAAGGAAAGCATTACTGTGGCTTGACCTTGCAATATTATAGAAAGGTCATGTGGCTAAATGTATACAATAACATACACACAATGTAGACATAAGGACAGATGTTAAGAGTGAGAAGAGAGAAATTTTTTTCCAGTATAGAGAATCAAAACCTATAATCAGTAGGAAAAAAAATTGAATGCAATATAAGGACATAAACAGGTGTCACAAATTTAGCATGTCAAATATCTGGCTAAAGAGCGTTTTGCTGGAGACACTGGTAAAATACTTCATTATGCAACCAAAAAAGTCATCCTCCATAGTTTCATCTTCAAATTGTTCTCTAAAAAGTGAAAAGGGTATAATAGGCTGATTTTATTTTCAGAGCTTTGGGACTCTCAAAATCAAAGCAAAATGCCCCAGACTGGTCCAACAATCTGAATTCTGATGAGTTGTACAAAAGAGGAATCAAGATTCCTAAGAGTCCCAAAAGAAGGGCAGGTTAACTCGCTATTACATACAGTATTTCATAACCAGAATAATTCATTTTTCCAAAACCCTAGATAAATTAAACTGCTACACATCAACAGTCTGAACTGGGAACAAGGTGTGTGTGTGTGGGGGGGGTGGGCAGGGGGAGTGGTGACACTGAGAAACTCACCCTTCTCTAAGCTCACTGACGCCTACTGCCTGCCTGACTTGTCCTTTCCCCTACGTCCTACAGGTGTTGACAGGCCACAGACACTGAAGAAAAGTTACCAGGCTGGAGATGGGGAACCAAAGACATGCCTGGTGAATGGAGAAGGGGTACGGCTATTCAGAATTACCTCACCAATCTGCTTCCATTTCCTATACCTTCACCCTAACAGAGGAACAAGTCAAACAGAAGACTTCAAAGAACTCTTAGATATATTCTGGGCAAAAGTGATCTAAAGCTAATAAAAATCCAAGCATAACTGGCCCGTCCAATAAGCACAACAGGAATCTGTTAGGCTGAGAAGCCATTATCTGATCTGTCTAGTCATGGCTGGGGCCAGAACCCAATCATCAATCATTTACATTTTTTTAAAGACAATCAATTGGTCTACCACTGTTCAGCAATTTAAATACATCAATGACCATAAGTATCAGAGAAAGATGGACTTGTACAAACTAAAAATAGAGACTGGAAGAAATTTCTTTGTTGGGAAAACATACATTAATACACCTCTAAAAAGAAAATCACTTCTATGTGAGCACATGTTCCTAGGTCAAGAATAAAATTACCTAAAAGTTACTGTTCTGTGAATAATCTGGATTTGTTGCTTGTATGCTCTACTCAAAATTTTATTTCAGGGCAATAAATTTATTCCAAAAAACATATTCACAAAAACAAAGGAACAAATACAAGAAAAAGCTTAGAAAGCATTCCCCTGAGTTGGCCTTGCCTTTGTGGGGAAAAAAAAGGTACTGGCATTTCTCTTATGATGCTTCCTAGGGAAGAGATTTAAAAATCAAAAAGGCAAGACTGAAGATTAGCTGTGAAAATAATGTATTTAATAAAGTCTGAGCTCACCAAGTTTCTGAAGCCCATTCCCTACTTATTTAGACTCTGAAACCTAAAGCAACAGGAACGGGCCTTCCACCAAATCAAATGCAGCTCAGATCTATTTCAAATTTAGCTTAAAAACTAATTTTTTGAGGGGTGGACTTGAACTCTGGGATCATCGCAAATTAGCCTCAAATAAACACTGGCTACCAAAATGGTTTTGTTTGTACCCATGCAAGTTAAGATAATCCTTCCCTGGAAGAGGACTTGCTCTATTTCCATTTATAGACATCATTTAATAAGGTTTTAAAAACGTCTTTATAAAATATCCCAAAGCTCATAATTTCTGCCAGAAAAATTTCAGTATAAATTCTGTTTATATTTCCTTAAGATGATCAATATTCCTCCCCACTGTAGATCATCATACATACTCAATCAAAGACACATTCCTTATTAATTTGCTTCCAGCCACCATGCAGGGAAGCCATAAGAATGTTCCACTGGGAGTGGGTTTGTGGGGAGGAATTGTACACCAAAGACAAGAGTAACGAAGATTTACTTTGCTACAGTTAACCCAAACACTCAGCTTTTCAGAGACAATCCATGTCGAGTTTAGAACAAGGGTTGTGAAAGCTATGTTTATCCCAATGCTAAATGGAGATGCCTATTTACCTTCCTGAGAAACTAGAATAGAAGAGCCACATTTTAGAAGGTGGAAACATAAACAACTTCATCCACATCCCACCTACCCAAACAAAAACATACTCTAGGGATATAATTTTCTCAATAATCCCAATTGCTCTGAAATAAGTACTTTAAGTTTTCAATGAGAATCAGCTTTACATGCATATTGCTGAGGTCCCAGATGTCTGTGTGGGGAAACCTACTCAGCTACTCAGCCACTCACAAGGATCAGGCCAATTGTCACTAATGTATTTAATGGGTTAATAACATCAATCAAGATTAAGTGGCTTATCTGTTGGTCCAAAGCATTTACTATCTGAAGATGTTTGAGGGTTTTCATTCTTAGTAAGCAAAAATCAAAACATTATTTCTAACAGTACTATCTATTATTCTGTACAAAATTGGCAACAGACACAGCATTTTCTTTAAGATGCCAAAGCCCAAGTTAACGCAACAGGAAGTATTGTTGAAAAAGAAAAGGAAACCAAAATAAAAAAGGAATTAAATGAGTTAATTCTGACTGCCTGGCAAATTTTACTTCTAAATAATAATTATATGTTTGGAATGCAAACATTGCAATTGTTGAATTTTTGTTTTTTTTACTTTACTTACTTGTATTTTAACAGCAGCCACTGAATTAACCAAAGTCCTACAAGGATCATGCCGTTAATTTCACAAATAGAAAAGGCCCACTGCACCCGGTTAAAATGGTCAAAAAACGTGTCCGGTAGTGGAGGCTGCACCTCCTTAGGAGGTACTCGTTCATGGACGACCGAGATCATCACTGTGGTGAGGATAAAACAGGAAAGTGCATAAAGAAAGGCCAGAAATGTCTTGCCCCACTCCATGGGGTACTGAGAACGCTCCGGTTCTGGCATGGGGATCTTTATCATCTCTTTCCTATACCCATTTGGCATTCCATTGGGTTTAATCTTGATGCTGAAGTTGCCATCAGGGGTAGGGATGTCCACACCAATGTTGAGGTGCCCATTGGCATGGCCGTTCTTGTGTGCTTCCATGTGGTGCTCCATTTTCAGGGTCTCTATCATGTCTAGGAGCCGCTGCCCATTGTCAGAGGAGACTAGACACAAGGGGGGTTTTTTAAAATCTTCCTGGGTTAGGTTGATCAAATCCAGGCCTGTAAAATGCCCCAGAGGTTCACAGTATTCTGGCATGGCATTCTCCAGCAGCCAGTCTGCCACCTTCTTGGGTGACCAATAAACCACTTCCTTCATTGTACTGGCAGACAACACGCAGTCTCCAGTTCACTCTCGGCAGGTCAGCAGTCACTATTTCTACAGGGCAGGGCACTGTCCCTCCTTGGCTCACTCCTCCTGTCGGGCCCCATGAGCAGCGATCTGCTTGGCAAGATGGTCAGGGCCGTTATTAAACACTTCATGTAGCTGTCCAGGGTTCCTGAGATCCCAAGCATTAATTCACCTCATTCTTCAACAGGACTCTTCATTCTGCAGAGGCAAGAGAAAAGATCAGGGTGGTGGGAATCCCAAATCAATCATCCCCAAATGCAAAATTTCACATGCGTAAGAAAAAATAAAAGTGCTATTATCAGGAAACACCACAGCTTTTGAATTTGTGTTAGTTTTAGGGACAACAGAATCTTGGTTATAGTCTTCTCTGACACTGGACAGAACTGTATCTGAATGCAGATAATGTCAGAGAGGACACATTTTACAAGTCACTTTTCCTTAGAAGTATTTCAACAGTGCTTTGGATACTGCCCCGACCCCCGCCAGATCTGTGGTTCCTTTAAACTTACATGCTACTGAGAGAATCTGAAAGAGCATGACAAATTTACTTGGTATGTCCTTCTATCTGGTGAAGAATGTTTTAAAATGTACACAATGCAAAACAACTTAATACAAAGGGTCTGCAAAAAGTTCATAGAAAGAGTGGCTACAGTGAATGTAAAACCATGCCTACATTTTTGTTTCTGCAACAAAATAAACTTATCTTTTAAGCTATCTTTTTCCACAAGTATCATGAAGGAAATTATAGAAACACAGGAGTTTCAAAATCATTTGGTCCCATAATTCTGCACTCATTTATGAAAAAGAAAACATCGAATTCTCTTTTCCAAATATATTCAAACCCAAAATATGTACATCATGAGTCGTCCGTGCAGGTGTTGGGGCACAGGTGATGAGAGCTGCCTTGGTCCTTCCTGCTCTCTTATCCTCCTACTTCTAGCCCCTAGAGGTTTCCATGGAGCGATACAGTTTGAAAATCTAGAATCTGATCTATCTCCCTATTTATAAATGAAGAATGTGATTCCTAGAAAAGTTGGGGGAACTTGCATATAATAAAATCACAGAGACCTTGATAGAATCAAAAGTGAAGTTTCTGATTCCTGGTTCATTTTATTTATTAAAATACTCAACCAACAACATTATAGAAATTAAAAGGCATCATGCTGCTCAAAAGCAGGGTTCACACAATTTTAAATGCACATGTGATTTATATCAATATGTCATAAATGTGACCCTTTCACAATAACAGTGAATAAATGTAATACTGCATAAACCAAGTGAAAATAACATATCAAATATTAACTGAAATTAATGTGACTCTTGGGGTACTTCTACTTTTCCCTATACTAGTTTTCTTTAATAAACAATCACTGAAAATGAAAAAACAAGAATGGGTTATAAGAAAAACCGACTCTGATGAAACTTCATGGTGAATGAGACAGTGTGACAGGAGACACACTGCCATTCTGTTGTCACAGCAGCCCATGTATCCCCATTATGCAAGCTTCAGCTACTCCATCTGTAAAATGGGAAAGTCATCCAATGTTCCCTTCTCAAGGTTGTTGTTGTCAGCACTTAATTCAGAAAGCACATCTGAAATCAGAGCAATACAACCTGTTTTCAAAGCTGTAATTTTAGAGAACCCACTAGTGTACATAACCACTCTTTTCCTTCCTCAAACTATCATTTCCAACAGCTGCTGTCCACTCCATCTTGCTATGAAAGTAACACTGATCACCACGTGGCTAACTTGTTTCAAATGGTCAAGGTATTAACTACAAAATAAAAACAGGGTTTAAGAGTTGTGAATGATTGATGACAGTGGCTCCCTAAGTATGTTCTTGCAGAATAATCAAAAATGTTACGTGATTTAAAAAAAAAAGTACACCTAAATAAGCTTAAGAGCTGCATACTGGAATCTCTTCTGGCAACCCTAGTACATAAACGGATGTTAAAATCTCAATGAAACCCTCCAGGAAAGAAAGTGTTGCTGGGATTTCTCAAATTGACTCCATCAAGGCTTTCTCATATCTTTATCCCAGGCTGGTCCTTACTAAGCCCCAAAATATAACTATGGAATGAGGTTAGACAATACATTTCCTGCAAATTGCTTCATCCAAATGACACACAATCGGTGATACCAACAGCTTTAAAAGATAGTCCAGTCCCACAAAAGAACTGGGTGACCTCTCTATCCCTGCTGGACATCCACAGCGCGATGCTCTTCCTTAGCACCCCTTCTTGTCATGAGGAGCCTGTCTAGACTTCCCCAGGAGCCTCTGAGCACTACACTAAAACTGCTACAAGATCCAGCACCACCTGACTCACACATCCAGGGCTCAGGAGGTATACAGCCAACACACACTCAACATCTCTGAAAGTCTCCCACACAATAAGCAAGCCTAAATGCTGCTGTGGTAGAACTAATTAAAAACAACCTGGATGTTCAAGGACAGTAAGATGAACATTTTGTATAGGGAAATATCGGAACTAGAATGAATCTTTGACCACTTCAAATGCCACTAGTCGTGAATGATGAGAAGACAGACTTGCTGAATGGGAGTCCTGGCACAAGGTTGTGCATGGAACGGCTTCTCCTCTGATCCTTCTCAGTTGGGCATATCCAACAGCTTGAGGTGTGTAAGTGCCAGAACAATTCTCAGTGGAGCACTAGGGTCTAAGGCAAATGAGCTCAACAGGTTTTATGTCTAAGTTCTTCATTTTTCTCTTGACCACACAGAAACTACCAGCACCTCAGAAGCAAAGATACCACACTAAGGCCAAACTACTGTTTTACTTCTCCTTGATGAGAGGAACAGACACACACTCTCCTTTCAGGAGATAACAGGCTTTAAAGGGGAAACACACACAAACAGAAGACAATCTACCCCAGGGTATCAAGAGTCCATCTGGCATTGCAGTCACTGTAAACATCCACCTAATCTTGCTGAAGTGAGCCCATCAAGCAGTTTAGATATCAAGATAAGCTAATGACTCCCACCAATCAATCCTTGCCTCCTCAAGACAGCCCTTTTGACTTTTCCATTTACACTTTCTCAACAAGGCCCCTGTCAGACCTAACTCACTCACTTCCCTTCTTTACAAAACCACTGCTCCATTCTGACCCTTGGTGTCTTCTGGAAAACAGGACAACCTATCATATCTACCTCCACACAGAATGCTCCTGTTGAGAAAATCCAAATGCAATAGGAGTAAAAGTTGTAAATAACCTCAACAAAGATATCTAACTTTCTCTGCAATGTCTTACTTCTTTTCTCATCCCCAATCGGACCCACAGTGACATTTAGAATTTACAGAAGCTGACACTTTCTTAGTGCATTTGTGAAATCTAACCATTTCAATGCACACAGCCTTCCAAATTTCATGTTTTTTTTTTTTAAGATTGTATTTTTACTGGAAAGGAGAATTTACTGAGCAAAGGAGAGACAAAAATATTCCACCAAGTGGTTCATTCCCCAAATGGCCTCAACAACTGGGGCAGTGCGGATCCGAATCCAGGAGTCAGAGACTTCCTCGGTTGCTTCCCCAGGCCATGAACGGAGAACGGGACCAAAGTGGAGTAGCTAGGACACAAACTTGTGCCTATATGGGATTCTGGTGCTTGCACACAGAGGATCAGTCAGTTGAGCCACCACATCTGGCCATTACATGAGCTTTGAAGTATGGAAATAAAGGGATGCACACTGATTTCTCATAGATAATGCAGTTGCAGGAGGTGAGAAGACAGTGCTGTTCTCCTATACTCACAAACCCAATGTGCAACATACTAGCCGTGTTTCTAGAAAGCAAAAGAAGGGGCCAGCACTGTGGTGTAGTGCGAAATGCTGCTACCTGTGACAATGCCAGCATCCCAAATGCACACTGGCTGCTCTGCTTCTGATCCAGCTGTCCATTAATGTGCTGGGGGAAGGCAGTGTAAGACGGCCCAGGTGCTTGGGCCTCCATGCCCACTTGGGAGACTCAGAAGAAGCTCCTGGCTCCTGACTTTGGCCTGGGGCAGCACCTAATGTTGCAACCATTTGGGAAGTGAACCAGTGGATTGAAAATTTCTTGCTCTCCTTCTAATCTCCATAACTCTGCCTGCTAAATAAATAAAATAAATCTTAAGAAAATCCAAACAAACAAGCCAATAACAAAGAAAGTAAAGGTGAAGGCAAAGTATTATTTTCACACCTAGATTCCACACACTGCATGTGAGTCTGGGTTCAATAAACAACCACAACATTATCAGTCAGAAAAGCCATCTTGAATCTATTACTGGGAGAAGGTTAAAAAATGACACATGGACCAAATTCTTAGATATGTTTTTCATAACCAGGAAGACTGAAAGAATAAAACCTAGACATATTCTCTTTACTCCAGGATATCACAGAATTTGATATACAAGAAATGCTGTGATTCTCGCTTATCCATAATTCTGAGATAAACTCAGTGAAGTCCAGTGAGACTGTAGTTTGTTTAAATTCTCATAAACAGCAGAAAGTTGGTCCTGAGGCTACACAGAGACCCAGGATGTGTTTCAGAGCTCTTCTGCTACACAACAGTTGACAGTTTCACAGAAGGGGTTTTGAGGCTTCTTTTAAAAAATGAAGATGGCATACAGGATACAAAGAAGGAACAGCAGCCCATGTTCATTAACAGCTCAGCAGGATTTTCTTTCTGGCTTCAATCAAGTGAAAGACAAATATACTCAATTCAATTTGGCTTCAATTCTTAAAATAGATATTTTAGTCCTAACATTAAAAAGTCATCAGATACTGTGCCATGATACTGTATGAACTACTTACATTTCATTATCAAAGCGAGATCTTTTAAACTAAAACACAGGTTAAAGTAATCGTTTTAAGCAGTGAAAAAATTAATTAAGCAAAATCATTAAATAAATCATTTATTAACAATTGCTTATCCATTTTTAAAAAGAGAGCATTATGTAATTATTTGAGAGCAGAGGTACACACACACACACACACACACACACACACACACACACACACACACTCCTTCTGCTGGTTCTCTCCTTATATGGCTACATTGAGCCAAACCCAGCAGCCTGGAACTCCACTGGGTTTATCCTTTCAAAAAGAATCTATTCTCTTCTTACCTGGCCCTGTGTACAAATCATATATGGTGTTGTGTTAACTACAATCTATTGTTTTAATTGCAAACTGAACATGAGT